CTGATGGCGGCCATAGGAAAAACAAAAAAAGGTATCTTAAAATCCAGTAGGCAAAAAAAAATAACAAATTGGATAAATATGTATGTTTACATACAAAACTTACTTTTTTTCAAAATTCCCAGAACTAACGTTATCACGATTTTTGGTTTTGAGCACAATACACACAAATACGCTATGTTAATATTGGCGCCAAATTTCGTCCGCCACTCGTACGTACGTCACATTCGAGGTTCGAAACTAGAATAAACTAGCTAATGCATTTATTGATATGTCAAAAATATAAGTCAAAATTGGTTGCATTAAAATATGGGATTTAATTATTTAAAGAAGAAGTTTTTTTTCAAAGGAGAAAATATCTTATATGGATGTAAATAATTGGAATGTAATATATGAGAAGAGATAATGGAAAGAAAGTTCCATTATGATAAATATAAGAATGGTTAAGTGTATCTAGTTTGATTATGTAATTTAAAACATTTATATATTAATGCTTAGACGCGCACGTTCAAGGTTCGAAACTAGAATAAACTAGCTAATGCATTACTTGATAAGTGAATTCGTTATTACGTTAATAAAGCTCAAGCTGATCATTTTACCACACGATACAAACGATTTTAGCATTTCATCGTAATTAAGAATAACATTACACGACTTGTCTTATTGGTAGATTCTTTCAAAGAATTAGGAGGGTACATTTTATATCAAGTAACCCCCCTCTCCCCCTTTATCATTTGGGTGGGCATTAGTACCTACTATAAACATTTCCTGAAAACAAACGTTTGTCGACACGATCGTGACATATCACTTTTAGAAATCCTACTACGTAGTAAGTACTAGGTGGATATCTTTTTTTTTTCAATTTTTCCCTAAACTTTCCTAGAATATAATGTAAAACAACTTCGGGCCAATGCGGATATAGAATGTCAAACAACTTCGGGTCAATGTTGGGTTTCAATATTGAACCACGCTAGAAAAAATCTGACGAAAGATATATTGGCCCAATATTATTACGAATATTGGGCCAATATCTTTGTGCTACTGGGGTACCTCGAAAAACAATTTTTTCTTACAATCAGTTTTAATAAATTGCCTTCATAATTGTAAATTTAATAAAACTTGATCGCGCGCCCAAAAATTAAAAATTAAAATTTTAACGAGTAAACATGACGTCAGACGTAGCGATAGAGACCGCAACCATGCGCAATTTTAAGCCTAAAAAAGATACAAATTCTACTAATTTTTATGAATAATTAAAAACATATGTTTTCTATAAAAAATAATTACCTCTGATTGTTTGGACCAGGTTTTCAGCTTAGGCGGATATTTAAAAAATATATAATAGGTAAAGTGATATAATTTTAATCTCATTTACAATTTAAACGCCTTAAAAATATACTGGGCAGGGACGGATCCAGAACAATATTTACGGGGGGTTTTGAAAATATTTAAAATGGTTCACAATTGTTTATTTTTATATGTTATTATGTTATAATATTTTCGGACCAAATTTAAACCTTCTGCTCTCTTAAGTTAAGTATCTCATATTAATTATTCAAAAAAAGTTGGCCACATCGCTATATTTCTACCTTTGGGTATTTCAAAAATCGATATAAAAACAAAAAAAGGCTCACGCTCAAGCATGCGTCGAAGCAGCTAAGAAATGTAAAGTCGCTCATTAAATTTATTTAATTTAATATGACAGCATGTTTTACTGGTTTCAATACTGGAACTTTGTACTGTCCGTTCAGAATAATTTGAGCGGTCTAAGGAATGTCACCCCGTCCATCATCTCTATGTTCAGACACAATTAAATACATGTATTTCGGTAGCCGCTCTGTACGAACAAACGGCAAACCGCGGCACTGATAAATCATCTTGTTACCGAAATCTCACGACGATTTGATATTTAATTTTATCAACGGTCACATGATCCCCCACTAAAGCGCTCAACTTAGCCTTGAACGGACTGTACAAATTTTTGAACGTGGAGTGATGCCGGCATCATCGCATGGAGCTTATACTTTTGGCTGCTTTTTTTGTTCGTTTGGCTCTATTGATGGTCCAGAAGCTGACAATTTATTACTGACAGAACCAGCTTCTTCTTTGATATCCTTATAGGATCCGGTTTTCTTAGAATTTCGTAAAATGTGTAAAATAAGAGTTGTTAATGATACTGCCGAATGGGAATCAGTCTTAAAATATACAACCAGTTACAGATCAATAGGGTGGCCCTAAAAAAACGACATATGAACATATGTTAGTTAATCATGTTTAAGGAGCTCTCTCCAAAAATCAGCTCGATTTAAATTTGTAGGGGTCTTCACATAGTCTAAAATCACCAGAAGCAGTTTCCTGACCTATCAAAAGCATCTCTTCTGTCGTAGTTTTTAATTTTAGTGTTTAATATTATTGATTTTCTAATATGCGTTTAATTATGGGCGACCTATCTGAATTTTTTTAACCCCTTATAAAAGTTTCTGGAAAAGTATTTAAAACACTTAACTACTTATTACTTAACGTACTACAACGTAAGATTTTACTTCGCTTAATCTTAGGGAGCTCACCAAAGCAAACTGTGAAGATGCCACTGAGATGGCCTACCCATTGCCTAAATTTTTAGATATTTTACTGTGTGTCTAAAATTTTACCCATTGTGATGTCAATATGTAGTCAATATGCCAATTTGTTAGGTTGATAACTTTTTATTTATTGTATAATGTCATATAACACAGTGGATGTTAAGATATTGGCGAAGATTGGCTAAAGAATTATGCAAAAGTTGTTATTTTTGATAATCCATTTATTGCATTCAAACTTTTTTTCTTCAAAAGATCCCAGTAAGCAGAATGGCGACATGGTGAAAGATTTCACCAAGAAAGTAAAGTCCATGAAGCCGCGCTAACAGAGATTTTTAGATGATGGTGGGAAAGTATATTTGGTTTCTCATAAGAAAATTAGATACCGAAAAAAAACAGAAGACAATCAAAAACATATAAAACTATTTCTAGTAAACTGCATAAAAATTCTAAAATAAAAATAAACAAAATCTATTTTATAAGCTATGAATAAGCTAAAAGTCCAAAATGGTATGAAAGATAAATGTTAATCATTTTAATTTTTCACCTACTGATCGGTTATCTGACAGCACAATAACAAAAACCTAAGAAAATAGCCTATTTGTAACAGCGACATCGCACTGTGAAATTCTAAATTTCAAAAACTTCAGTAATAACAAACAAAATAGTATATTCTGTAACAAGTTTGGAATACAGCATATTCCGCTCGAGTGAAGAGTTTGTCACACGAGCCGAAGGCGAGTTTGACGGTACTATACTTTTTCTACGTCTTTCTACGAGATGTCACCACCAGTGTTTATTCTGTCATCCGATGATAGAATATTTCATTCTGTAACACTTTACGGAATATATGTTATTCCATAGATAAAAGTGATATTAGAACGGTCAAATTCCGTAATAGGAGTAGAAAAAACTATTTACTCAAAATGTATTGTAAATTAATTGCACATTACTAATAAGGTAAAAGTCGAGGTAAAAGTCTTAAAATAAACAAAAAGTTGAATTTTGCCACTTGTACACAAATTGTCATTTATTCATAAGTTTTTTCGTAAAAACCTTGTTTTCTTTGTAAAAGTACAAACTCTATGTAGATAATTTAAATATTTCAATAATTTTTATTCATTCTTAGACAAAAGGTAAGTGTTGCAATTTTATTTGGCGTGGTCTCAATGTTATGTTTTTTCGAGAACTTTGCCTATTCTCTAGGTTGTCCCTTTGACGCGTCATGACGTATGGAAGGAAGGCCTTCGAAGTTGGTTTGTTGTTCTCGTCCTTTGTGGTACTTAACCGGCGTCGTGGTCTAAGAGTCTTTTTGATGATGGTTTTGAAGAATACGTTTTGCTGTAGCGTCGTTTGGATTTTCAGGGTTTCTTGTTTCTTGTTGTCATCATCCAGCCTTTCTGATCAAGTGAAAAGTGTCTTAAGGGAGCGTTAAAGTATTACGTAAAGCATTTTTTAAAGTAGGAAACTTTGTTCACAAAAGTTTTCCCTGTTGGCAACCCTATCCTGTGTAGGTATATACAATATTATTTAATAAGAAAAGGATAATCCAGAATTATGTTGGCATTTGTAATAAAAGCATAGGACATAATATTTCTTGTTCATAGTATTTTTTTATTTCTAATCCTAATTACTTACGAGCATACCTAGGTATATAAAATAATTTTTGGTATTATTTCCATAACAAAATTTAAATTTCAAATAATTGTGCGTACGTAATATCAGTAGGTATTTAATTTATTCTTTCGTATAATTGTTTACATTTTGATTATTGAAACAACAGTGGCGTATTACAATGCCAAGTTGTACCTACAGGCCTTTTTAACTTTGCTTATTTAAACAAAATTAAATAAAATTAACTCCTACAATATTTTTAAATTAAAATTAACAGTTTATGGTGTTGATAATTATACCGTTATAATTATATATTTTTAATTTAGAAAACCCAACAGAGTAGAATTATTTGAAAACCTATAGTTTAAAACAAAAGTAAAAATCCTATTTCCCTTTTTATTGGAGTGACATTTGTATTTAAACAGGAAAGAGGTTATATATAGGTACAATTAACTTAAGGGCGGAAGCAAATGTTAAGTCTGCAAAAACCCATTTAATATATATAATATATATATAGTAATACCACAGACCTACAAACAGGTAGGTCTGTGAGTAATACTAAATTAACATAATTTTTTTAAGCAATATTGTATTTTTTATTTGGAAAAATAATCATTTAAAACATAAGTGAAAATACTATTCCCCTTTTTATTATTATTGTGACCTTAGAATGTAATCAAGAAATAAAAGTTCAATATACTCGTATAACATTATCAAAAAAGTCTTTTAAAAACGTTTTTAATTTAAAGATACGCCACTGATAAACGTTGAATTACAAACACATTGGTTTTGCTGTATTTAAAAAATACATTTGAGATGGTGAACGCTTTGAGTAGTTTTAAAATATATATAACATGTAAAGATTACCATATATGGGTTGATGATTGTTTTGTAGGCCTAGCTGGAGCAACTTTGTGTTATGTCATTAAATCATTAAAGATATACGGTACTGTTCACACGGTGAGTTATTTAAAAACCTTATCTAAATGTATCTAATCTAATCTAATATAAAACTTTGTTTTTCTTTATTTAAATGTTCATGTTAAATATTATTTATCAGATAACATTTGGGTATTGTGACCCACTGTATATATTGGGGTGGTCCTTATTTTGAAAGCCTAAATTTTATGTGTGCGATTCTCTACCTTAAAAAAAGTGTGCAGAATTTCAACTCCCCCCGGTCACGTTATCCCGTGCCGCCGAGGCACTATGGAAAATCAAGGTGTGTGTGTATCAAAAATACATAACTATATCTTATTTCGAAAAATATACTGCTAAAATTTTAACCCATATATCTAATATTTTTAATTAAAAAGAAATTGTACGAATATATGTAAAATCTTTATTGTACGATTTTAACCGGATTTGTTTTAAAGTGTAAATTTTGGTAAACTGTATTTTTGGAACAAAAAAACCATATTTTTACAAAATACAAGGGGTACCTACTATGCCAGTTTTTGAGAGTAACTTTTTAAGAATTCATATTAGCGATTTAAAAAAAATCTATGCACGGCACTGGATTTACCACCCCTCAAAACAACCCCATACTAAATTTTATTTAAAATTTTTAGTAAAAACGGTTTTGTAGCTAAATTAAAAATGCACAATAATTACAATTTACAAAATTTATTCTATCAGTTATCCATGAAAAAACATTCAAATAAAATTAAACTAATAGTAACATGGTATATTAGACTGGGCCAAAAAAATCGACTATTTTTTTTGTAAAGTATATCGAAAATATTGTTTGGGGTGACAAAAAAAAATATGGTGGAAGTTTGAGTCCATAATATTAATATTAAGAGGTCTATCATCGCAATTTTAGATTTTTTTTTCCTGAGTGAGTTTTTGTCTCAGAACTCCCAAACCAGTTAGTTTAACAAAATTGACTTAAGAATATTTTTTGAAGAAAATTGAATGCTCTATAAATAGGTTTGATTGGAATTTCCCGTCAGATGAACCGTTTTCTTACAATCATGCCTTAAAAATTGGTATAGTTTTACAATTTGATCTTTTAACTTTGGAATTTTGTAATTCATGTAAAAATCAGTTCCCGGAAAAATGTTAAAAGACTTTTTGTAAAGCATTTGATTTCCCATAAGAATATCTTTTCCGGGAACTGATTTTTACATGAATTACAAAATTCCAAAGTTAAAAGATCAAAATGTATAACTATACCAATTTTTAAGGCATGATTTTAAGGAAACGGTTCATCTGACGGAAAATTTTATTTTATCCTTTTTTGTAGGGCATTTAATTTTCTTAAAAAAATCAATTTTGTTAAACTCAGTGGCTTGGGAGTTCTGAGACAAAAACTTGGTGAGGAAAAAAATTTAAAATTGCGATGATAGACCTCTTAATATTAATATTATGGACTCAAACTTTTACAATAATTTTTTTTGGTCACCCCAAAACATATTTTCGATATACTTAAAAAAATTGTTGATTTTTTGGCCCAGTCTAATGGTATATATATTCTTTTGCAAATAAAAAACGTAATAGACACTTAAAACAAGAATGAAACAAAAAATAGAGAATTTTATATGCAATGCAATTTCAGCGGCATGGGTTAATTTCAAAGAATAGAGCTGAAAATGTATGGACATTATTTTTTTATTGTAGAGAATCATTCTAGGAGGTAGCACGCTAAAAAAAATATTATTTTTTTGCTTCATATAAATAAGGACTACCCTAATATATATACATATATATGTATATAATCCCACTAGGCGTCCTCCAATGTTAAATTTCGTATACAAACGGCGTCCTTTGGTCACTGGGCGTCCGTTATACGGACGCCGACTGGACTCTACCAAAAACATTTACCAATAAGCGCTAGATGGCTGTGAGATGCAGAAAAACTAAATTTTAAAAAGAGTTTAACTTGGTCGTTTAATGAATTCTGTTTATATTTTAATTCAAGGGTTTGCGTTAGAGTGTCACTACTATCGCCTTGTGTATAGACATTCTTTTACAAATCGTACACCTATTTTGACATCAGGGTTTGGATTCGCATGAAATTTTTTTTACCGCTTCTATACAGTAAATAAGCAGATACGTGTATCAGGTTTTCTGTAAAAAAATTGTTTTTTCAGAGATATGTTGATATAAAGTTTTTATGAATTGCGATAAAACGATAAATTCTCTTCTACATAAAACCCATTATCTCCGGTTCTACTGATCGGATCGATTTTGTATTTTTTTTGTTTTAAACCTTATTGAATAGGCTTTTCAAATAAATAAATTAATTTTTTTTTTTTTAAGTATAGGGAGTTAATAACAGATTAATTTTTTAAACTAGTTTTTCATGTTTGCCCCCTCTATAAAATAAAATGAAAAAAATACTATTTTATGCGCTTTTTCTTTATCTACAAAATACATTTTTCAGAACAGTGGAGACTCTTTTGGATCGGAAGATATTAAACATTTTCGAGCGCGTGACAGGACTGTCAAGCGCGTAATATTCAAACGTATTAGTGCATGTGGCGGGTGACGTGATATTTTGTATAAGAGTGCCATGATTCGACATCTTTTAATTGGTGACTTATTTGTGCAAATGTCAATTCTGCCAGTTAATAAATTTACTCATTAATTGGAGTTTGTATTATTTAAAATTTAATTTATTTAAAATTATTGAAAACCTTTAAAATCAGAATTAATTTAGAAAAAGCGCTGGTATTTTTTTAAAACGATGTATGAGTTTACACTATCCTAAATAGTGATGCCGCGAGACGAGACGAGACGAGAAAAGTCATAATAAAAAAAAATTGTGCCAAGACCACACTGATAAAGTAAGACTTTTTACGCCGAAAATGTCGCACATTTGAATCAAATGGTTGGATCTATGTGGAGTAGTTACATATAATATATATTATATTATATTATATTATATTATAGATGTAACTGTAACACTGAGAAAAAAGTTTATTGCTCCCAAATAAAAAAAATATTTAAATATGGGACAAGGGTACAGTATATTTATCCTAAATATATTTTTATTCCCGACACATAAAGTTTTACTAAAGTATATTTGGACGGCTTTCTGCAGAATGGGACCAACCCACACCATGATGAAACTGAGAAAAAAGCTATCAAAGATTTAATAATTTTAAAATTACCTGTTAATTTTATGCCGATTTTGGACTTACGGAGGTTTAAGGGATATAATTTAATAATTTCATCAGGTGGATTTTGTGATGTTATGTGTAAGGGTGACGAAAAAAATGGGCTTTTGTTGGTTGGTTCCTTTCTGCAATTTATGAAAACTACTATCTGATGTATGTATGTATTTAAAGAAAAGCGACAATTATTTATTTCCAAACAAAATATAACTGATATTACTATTATAATGGTAATATGAATTAATTTTGATTCTATTTGAAATTCGTCCACATCATCTTCTAACCCCACCTCATCTTGTAAGCTACCAAAAAAATGCATCAAGACTTTATATTTTGCAGAAGCAGGAAATCTTTAAATACTTTGGTAGTGGGTCTACCAGCCTGTTTTTTTACAAAAAAGATCCAACCCACTTGCAGATATTCTACAGATTCTAATTCTGGATTAGTAATCCACACTATTATTGAATGTTGGTTGGTTCAATGATTAATACATTTCACTACACTTGCATTTTGGCTATGACCTATTTTGCAGATAAATTATACATACTTAATTAGTTCATAGACTAAATATCTCGATTTTTTTGGTTTTGTGGGTTGGTTCCTTTCTGCAGAAAGGCGTCCATTTATCGTTATTATTTCGACTATTTATTTAGAGGTAATAAACAATATATTCACTATTAATAAAAGGATTAGCTACACAGTTTATTTGTCCCATTCTTTTTCTCAGTGTAGTATAATATATATTATAGGCGCAGTAGTTTTCAGATGGATGGATCAAATCATCCATCCATCTGAGAACTACTGCGTCTATATGATGTAACTACTCCACATAGATCCAACCATCTTGTACCTACTGCGCATGTCCGTCATTTTGAATCCGCAATTTTGTTGTTTGAATGGATATCAAATTCTTAATCAGGGACCCCATAAATATCTAAATACTAAATTTTACCCAAACCATTAAAGCCGAACGACAAATTTTCGTCATATTGGATTAGCCATTTTATTTTTTGAAGAAATGGATATCAAATTTGTAATCAGCCCCTCAAAAACCACATGTTGTTGATAAGTTCATTGAATAAGCAATGCTTATTAAGCACGGGTTGTTTAATAGTATAAGGAGTGCCATAAATGTGCTCATACAGGGTAAATTTTAAAAATTAATATTATTTTATAAGTAATTTTTTTCTTGGTTAACCTTAAGTTGTATTATAAAATAATAAAACGTTATACAGGAACAAATTTTGTTTATTATGAAATGCGAATAATAATCTCATTGGTCCAAATAAATATCGCAAAATTAAAATTTTTATGTAAAAAAATTGTTTACTTATTACCGGAATAATCGAGAGAACGAGAGAGATCGATAGAAACGAGAAATTCTCGAGCGAGAGAGGGCTTTCTCTCGTCTCGTCTCGAGCCTTTTTTTGAGAGAAAATCTCCCTCTCGTCTCGTCGAGACGACACGAGACGAGACGAGAGGCGAGAATCTCTCGTATCGGCGGCATCACTAATCCTAAATGTGTTAGCGTTTCGAAGATGTCTGATTAGGGGGTGTCCATTAATTACGTGAGTCAATTTTAGCGATTTTTCGACCCCCTCCCCCCTTGCTGAGATGTCGTGAGATTTGGCTCAACCCCCTCCCCTTAATCTCACGTGAGATTTTAAAAAATGCTTATTTTTAATGTTTATACGTTAAACTGCTTGATTCTGTTGGATTTATTAAAAAAACATACTTTGTTAAAAATTACGTGATATTTGCCGAGACCCCCCCTCTCCCTTACGTGAGAATTGATGAGATTTGGCTTGACCCCCTCCCTCCCCTAAACGCCTCACGTAA